TGGTGTTTCCCTCCCTGGGCTGCGGGCCGCCCGCCAGGCAGGGCGCTGGGCGGGTGGGACCTCACTGCTAGGACGGTGATGGCGGCCGCTCCACCTGCCACACACACCTGGACCCGCACTTTCTGATCCCGAACTGGGGGCAGCTCTCCCCACCCCGGCAGTTCCTCAGCCTTCACAGGAACAGGAGGGCTCCCCAGGTCCTGGACTCTTCCCTCCGGGGCTGCGAGCGGGCTGTAGGGCGGGGCGGGGCCAGGGAGGCAGGGCACCCCACCCCGTGGGTACACTCTGCCCAAAGGAACAGGGGGGCCTTCTCCAACCTGCTGCCTCTGTCCACCGCCCACTAGCGCTGCCACGCAGGAGCTGGCCCTGCTCATCTCCCGCATGCAGGCCAACGCCGACCAGGTGGAGCGGGACATCTTGGAGACACAGAAGAGGCTGCAGCAGGTGAGGCCGGGGGGCAGGTGGCAGGGCGTGCGGATGGGAGGGCCTGGTCACGGCCTGGCGTGTCCCCTGGTCATGGTGACGATGAGACCGGCGACCTCTGTTCTTCACTGGCCACGCCCTGAACACGGTGGGAAAGACGGCTCAGCACTTCTCAGCTGGGGGGTGCGAGGGGCTCAGGGGCCCAGGCCTCCACTGTGTCCCTGAGCTCGCCCCACGGATGCCCTGAGCCTGTCCCTCTGCCAGTGTGGGCTCCAGCGTGGGCCCATGCAGCGGGGTTCCTCGGGGTGGGGCTCAGGGGCAGTGACGGGCAGCGAGGATGCCACCCCCCGCCCCCTGCCTGCAGGACCGGCTGAACAGTGAGCAGAGCCAGGCCCTGCAGCACCAGCAGGAGGCCGGCCGCAGCCTGAAGGAGGCCGAGGTTCTGCTGAAGGACCTCTTCCTGGACGTGGACAAGGCCCGGCGGCTGAAGCACCCACAGGCCGAGGAGATCGAGAACGAGTGAGCGGAGGGGCTTGGGCTCAAGGATGGAGGCGGCGGGGGGCCCGGGGGAGCCCCTGGCCAAAAAAATTTCCCTCCCTGGGCTGCGGGCCGCCCGCCAGGCAGGGCGCTGGGCGGGTGGGACCTCACTGCTAGGACGGTGATGGCGGCCGCTCCACCTGCCACACACACCTGGACCCGCACTTTCTGATCCCGAACTGGGGGCAGCTCTCCCCACCCCGGCAGTTCCTCAGCCTTCACAGGAACAGGAGGGCTCCCCAGGTCCTGGACTCTTCCCTCCGGGGCTGCGAGCGGGCTGTAGGGCGGGGCGGGGCCAGGGAGGCAGGGCACCCCACCCCGTGGGTACACTCTGCCCAAAGGAACAGGGGGGCCTTCTCCAACCTGCTGCCTCTGTCCACCGCCCACTAGCGCTGCCACGCAGGAGCTGGCCCTGCTCATCTCCCGCATGCAGGCCAACGCCGACCAGGTGGAGCGGGACATCTTGGAGACACAGAAGAGGCTGCAGCAGGTGAGGCCGGGGGGCAGGTGGCAGGGCGTGCGGATGGGAGGGCCTGGTCACGGCCTGGCGTGTCCCCTGGTCATGGTGACGATGAGACCGGCGACCTCTGTTCTTCACTGGCCACGCCCTGAACACGGTGGGAAAGACGGCTCAGCACTTCTCAGCTGGGGGGTGCGAGGGGCTCAGGGGCCCAGGCCTCCACTGTGTCCCTGAGCTCGCCCCACGGATGCCCTGAGCCTGTCCCTCTGCCAGTGTGGGCTCCAGCGTGGGCCCATGCAGCGGGGTTCCTCGGGGTGGGGCTCAGGGGCAGTGACGGGCAGCGAGGATGCCACCCCCCGCCCCCTGCCTGCAGGACCGGCTGAACAGTGAGCAGAGCCAGGCCCTGCAGCACCAGCAGGAGGCCGGCCGCAGCCTGAAGGAGGCCGAGGTTCTGCTGAAGGACCTCTTCCTGGACGTGGACAAGGCCCGGCGGCTGAAGCACCCACAGGCTGAGGAGATCGAGAACGAGTGAGCGGAGGGGCTTGGGCTCAAGGATGGAGGCGGCGGGGGTCCCGGGGGAGCCCCTGGCCCAGCCCTGACCCGCCGTGTCTCCATGGCAGCATCAAGCAGCTGCACGAGCGGGTGACCCAGGAGTGTGCCGAGTACCGCGCCCTGTACGAGAAGATGGTGCTGCCGCCCAACGTGGGGCCCAGGGTGGACTGGGCGCGGGTGCTGGAGCAGAAACAGGTCAGGGGTCCTCCCTCATGTTGGCGACACCTCAAGGAGCTGGAAGTCACGCCCAGCAGTAATCAGAGCAGTGTCATCAGGGGCCCCACAGGATGCTTGGACCGGGAGGTGGTTAGGGGTCTGGGAAGGGAGAGAGCAAGGAGACAGTGCAGTCAGGGAAGACTTCCTGCAAGAGGAGGCTCAGAGGCCTCAGAGAGGTGGAAAGGCGTGGCTGGGTTGGGGTGAAGTGGTGAGGAGAGGACCCTGGGTGTGAGAGGAAGTGGGGTTTTCTGGGCAGGCAGGCAGGACCAGATGACGGGCACCCTCACCCCTCACCCTGGGTGAGGAATTGTGCTTTGATGCCACAACAGAAGGGGTGCCGTGATGACAGTGAAGGGACAGCGGGGGGCCATGGGCAGAGCAGGAGGCGTGGAGACGGGGCCGGGAGGAGGCAGGGCAGAGCCGGAGACTTCTCAGAGGCTGAGACCCAAACCCTGGGGACCAGTGGGATTCGGGGACCACAGTCATGGGGATACCAAGGCCTCAGCTAGGGCCACTGGAGAAAGGCATGTCCCCAAGGGTGAGCCGCCAGCTGTTCACCCAGGATATCCTCCTGGCTCGCCCACCTTCTGCGGCGCCACCTGCTGGTGGGGTGCGGGAGGGCAGGCCGGGCGGAGCTGAGTGGCTGGTTCCTCTGCAGAAGCAGGTGCGCGAGGGGCCCTACGGGCCAGGCATGGCGGAGCTGGAGCAGCAGATCGCCGAGCACAACATCCTGCAGAAGGAGATCGACGCCTACGGGCAGCAGCTGCGGAACCTCGTGGGGCCGGTGGGTGAACCTCCTCACACGCACCCCAGCCCTGGCCCCCTTCTCCCATCAGAGCCTGGGCTAGCCCGCTGGCCTCTGGGGTGAGGGAAGGAGAGGGGGGCCTCCCCCGTCGGCCCAGGAGGGGTGGTCGCCCCTCCACCCGCCTCTCACTGGGCCTGCATCTTCTCCCCTTGGTTGAGGCAGGATGCGAACTCCATCCGGAACCAATACCGGGACCTACTGGTGAGCAGGAGGAAGGGCCGGGCTGGTGGGCCGGGAGCGGCGGGCCTGGCTGCCTGCACCCTTGATGGGCCAGTGTTTCTGGGTGCGGCCTGATGGTC